GAGGGGGCGGCAGAAGGGGTGGTAGCGGCGGCGTCGGCATCATCCCGTCGATCGAGAACGTCTCTCCCCTGGATGGAACCGAACTGTATCCAGTCAACCATGGCGCTGGGGCTGTCTTCCAAGAAAGCATCCTCCAGGAATATTGCGGTGGAAAGGAAAAACCTGATTACCGTCTGCAGGTAAGGGTTCCTTTTATTGCCTCGAGGTGTGCGCTGTGCCTTGGCTTGGAGAGGACGAGGGAGGTCGAGTGAATGGACACGATGGAACCGCTAGGATGGGTTTCTGGAACATGGTCTCGAGATCTTCCTTTTCACAGAACGGTCAACATGGCTGGACACAGGGCACCGTCCTTCTGGGTAGCGCACATGGAGTGGGAGAGCGGAGCCTGGATACCAGGTGAGCGGAGGAAAGGTTAGAAAATGCAAGAACAGAGGGAAAAACAGTGACATAAGCAGAAAACAGATCAGGGAGACCAGCATCTGTGAAACCGTTGAGAGAAAAAAAGCAAGCGTCAAACAAGCATCAAGCTGGAGGGAAGGAGAGAGGATGGATACAGGCCAAAGGCAGTGGATGCAAACACAAGATGCTCTATTGTGTTTCCAGGGTCCAATTTTCAACAAGTGTATCTATTCTGTCTTTTGCAGGATTCTGGTTTTCAGACACAGGCTCCTTATATGAAATAACTCGGAATCTAACAATCTAGAACCCCCACCCCACTGCTACACAGCACCAGCTCACTTAGGGAAGGAATTCTTGCCTGATCAGTCCTACTCCATTTCTCTTTGGCATCTATGTATTTTCCTCCCAAAGGTGATCATTTCATGGGTGCTTAACAAGGGTGTCTATGTAAGGGAATGAATGTCGAAAATTCTGGGAGGTAGGAAAGAAGGTTGAACAGCATGTTCAGTTGTCACTGTTAACTGTTACCTTTCCTGGCCAAGTGGATGGGGGTTATGTCATACATAAAGCAGAAGCTAATTGGAAAGAAAAGGTGGAGAGGCAGGGAGTGTTTTCACTGTGCCTTCTCCCTGAGGGTAAGAAGGAAGAAAATAGGGAGTTATGTGCTGAAACAGTGTGCAAAGATAGATATAAGGCACCCTGGTTTGGGAGATGTGAAAACTGGGAAGTGACGTCACTGGAAAGCATCTTATGAGCAGCAGAAAGGAGGGTGGAGGAGGGTGGGATCCCAGAGGCAACCGGGCTGCCGTAGCAACAACCTTTTCCCAACAAAAGGCATTAAGCAAGGAGGAGAGCCGTCTCCTTACCTTATCCTTGTAACAGGAGTTTCCTGTTCTTGACCCTGGCTCATTCTCAGGTATGCCTCTGCTGAAGCAGAGTGATCTGACTTTAGATGGAGAAGCATGCTTTTGATCCATGAAGACAGACAGACAGACAGACAGACAGACAGACAGACAGACAGACAGACAGACAGACAGACAGATACAATGAAATATTAATAAATTAATAACTTTATCATTTATGCTTGGGTAGATTCAAGTACTGTATTGAATGAAATCATGGAGCAGCTGCTGCTTACCTGAAGCTTCTGACATCAGTTTGTAGGAAAGGTGGTGCAAATATGAAGAGCTGTTGCCTGAAATCAGGCAGTGCTCAGAACCCCATGTTGCTCTAATTGGTGCAAATTAGGTTGACTAGTGCAAGATCCAACAAGAGGGTCTGGAACAATGGACTGTTATGCTATGGGTTTCCCAGGTGAAGCTTCTCCATCCTGTCCAGTATATTTTTTGAAGGACTGGTGAATTTTTATTAAGTTTACTGTTCTGTCCTTGGAATATTAGGCACATTTCTAATTAGCCCATCTCAAAATACCATACAGAAAGGCTGGAGAAGGGAAACTAAGATTGTCAGGGTAGAGAATGGCTCTACCCAGTGTAGTGTATTGCCATGTTTCCCAGCTTTGGATAACCCAGGTGTTTTGGGGATGCGACTCCCAGAAACCCCTAGCAGCACAGCTGGTGGTGAAAGCTTTTGGAAATTGCTGTTTAAGAATTGTTACTCAAGGTTAGGAACTACTGGTGTAGTTGATAAGGTAATGGACTAGGACTCTGGAGGTCTGGATTCCCTTAGCCATGGAAGCTCACTGTGAGTGTGGAACTGGTGGTTTAGGGTTTCTGTGGAGCCAGAGGTTGGAAGTTCAATTCCCCCCGTGCCTCCTTGATAGGTTCTGATGATCCATGGGGTCCCTTCCAGCTCTGTACTTCAGAGAAGATTATTAAACATCTCACTTACCTCGAAAGCCCTAAGTTTTGACTTAATGGCACATAACACAGACAATGGCTCAACTTCCTTGTATGCAGAAATGTAAACATCTGAACCAGGTATCACACTAGCTGCTGCTGATAGGTTATATACTTCTTAAAGAAAAAAGGAGAAAGAATAGAGAGTAGTCAGCCTTCCTGAACCTGGTGTCCCTCCATTTGTGTTGGACACATTTGTATAGCACCTCCTGTGTTGTCTGGGGTGATGAGGAATGTGGTCTACACATCTGGAAGATACCAGCATGGTGAAAGCCAAAACAGATTATACTGATATTCTCAATGTTATGTTATGTGTCATCAAGTTGGAACTGACAGATAGTGACCCTAATTGGGCTTTCAAGGTATGTTAGAGTGATTTTACCAGTTCCACACCCTCAGTGAGCTTCCATGGCCGAGTGGGGATTCAAACCCAGGCCTCCTGAGTCCTAGTCTATCACTCTGCCTACTACACCACATTGGGTGTCTCAATCATTGTCAATACATGTTGATATTTATGCAACACAGAATGTATGTATATGTGTATATAAATGTTTATAATGTGTTTGCTAGGAGCAGAATGTGGTATTAACATAGAATGTGTCTTTTGCCATACAGAAATAAAATAACTAATATGCACTAGGGCCAGTTAAGATATTATGACTGCAATAACAAAATAAAGAAAATTATTTACTAGAATATGGCTGTCATACCAAACAACTAAACACTATGTATTATGTAATATAGTTTATACGTTTATAATTAGTTTATTTATTGTTTTAAACCAAGTCTTAAATGATTATTTGAATATCAGTTCCTGGCACAAACACAATATGAGAGATCACAAAATCTTATACTATACAAACAGTGGTTTTTATCTACTTCCAGCTTCTATATGCTAATTCTGCTAATTTATAGGTTAGAATTTATTTATTATAACCAGAAGCCAACAATACAGGCAGGCATTTAAGGAAAAAAGGTAGAAGTAAAGTAGTAAAAAGGAAATCTAGACTGTAGCCTTATACCCCCTTTCTGGAGTAAGCCCCACTGATCTCCACTGGATATAGCTATGAATAGGCATGGACCTATTTAACTCTTTATTAATTTAATATGACCTGCATTCAGTTATAAAAATCTTACAATCAAGAGAAATTCAAAAGAGCATGCAGAGGAGTGGTGTGGTGGTGGAAAACCTTGATTTTGTGCTGATATTTATTTTTCCCCATTGATATTGCCCCTCCTGCTCTTGTGAAACAGCTCCAAATAGAAATGTTCTGGTCTTCTATTGGGCTGCAATTTGATTTGTTGTTGTTGTTGTTGTTGCAAAGGAAGAGAAATGGAACAGTCAGGCCATAGGTTGCCAACATAATCTAGGAGCCTTTTAAACTGTTTATCCCTCCATTGTCTGTTCAGACTGCAAGCCTCTCTCCAGCAATGTTAGGCACATGTCTTTCCTATCACCTGCTTGTTGCTGATATATACTGTATACTGTCAGGCTGATGAGGACCCTAACCGGATTTTTAGGTACGTGAGATGGTCAGTGAATTGTTTGCAATTGTTACCTCTAGTGGATTTTCAAAGCTGTATGAAGATTTGAACTCAGGTCATCTGAATTCTCGTCAAGCACTCTGTCCCCTATACCACACTGGCCCCCATCCTCTGCTACCTGCTACTAAAACAAAACAAAACAAAGTCGGTCACATCGGAATTTAAACTTGTGACCTCTTGTTTGCAAAGTACGTGTGGGTACCACATAGCCACAGCTCCTGATTATTGCAGTTAGCCCTATCCAGGATATTTATATAGATTTCTTGAACAATCAAGCTGGAAGTCAGTCATGTCCCAAGGACTGCCAGAGAGTATTGTACAAGTCAAAGTGAATGGTCAGCCTTCCAGATCTTCTAGGATTATTGAGTGACACTGTCAGGCTGCTTCAGAGTGATGAGGACCTTCCAGATCTTCTAGGATTATTGAGTGATATTACTCTGTGGATGGATCTAGGCCAAATGTGCCATTAGGCAAGACAATGTGGACAACTTTGGGTGGTAGATTTCTAACAGGAAGCAAGCTGTCAGTTATATAGCTCTCTGTTATAGTTGTACCAAGATGGAGATGAGCATGGAGGGGGTGTTATTTGAGTTTTCTACCTCAGACACCACGTTGTTTTGAGCTATTATTAGGTGAATCCATACATGTTGGCCATCTACTCACTCAAGAGACTTTGGCTATTAAAGATTTTTGTGATTTGGACCTAATTTGGTCTAACTCATTTGCACTCTCCATTATGGTTTTCTTACCACCATGTTGCTTCAGAAGTAGTTCTGGTCATACTCTGTTTGAGACCATCAGGCATCCATTCAGTCAATTAATCACTTCGAGTATGTCCAAGATAATCTAATCAACACTTTGAAATTTCATTACTTGGGTTATTAATGCTATTGTTACTCTGAAATTTCATTATTTGTACATTTTATCTCTTCATCTGGTCCTCGTTCCCATAACCATTATACTGTATTTGTTAACCCATGTCTAAATATATGTCTGAGAAAGTAGACTACAACCCATGAAAACTCAACCAGAAATGTATCTTTTAGCCTTCAAGGTGCCACACCTTGTTTAGCTTGTTTAGCTTTGGCTATACAACAGGCTTAGAAAACTTGCTGGTTTGGTTTTTCTGATTGTTAGTTGTGTTAAGCATGGATGTGAATGAAATAATAGTAAAAGGAAGAGAATCCTTAACATTTTGCTGTTTATGCAGAACACCTCCCCTGGTGCTTCAGTTCCACAATTTCCTATGCATGACTATAAAAACAGTTGTGCTTCTTAATGAAATTTCATTATTTGTACATTTTATCTCTTCATCTGGTCCTCGTTCCCATAACCATTATACTGTATTTGTTAACCCATGTCTAAATATTGTACTC